CAAAAAAAGAATTTATTTCTGAAAGATTGACCTCTATAGCCTTATTTTTAGGATGCTTAGTTGCCCTGTTTGTGCTGAATGTGTTTGTACATTTAAAATCTAGTTAATCTGTTCATCTTTATGGAGTTGAGCTTAGAACTGGTAATGGACAATTTGCTTGGTTTTCTGCCCTAAAATCTTAATCATGTCCGAAATTAAAAGTTTTGACTGGCATTTATTACAAAATTGTGAATTCCGTCCATTTCAGTCTTCCCTCCTGTTATTTATACCTCTAGGATTTCTGAGTGGCTTCACGTCAATCTCTCTATATTTTATTAATTTTTTATATTATTTGCTTCTCTTTTATTTTCAGTGAAACATGATTGTGTATTCGGTGATGACTTGGATGTAGATGAAATAACATTTGTGTCAGAGGTATACAGCATTTTTGGTGCATAAATTTTACCTCTTCAATCTTTTCTGAATAGTGATGGTGATATATGAAAAGCACTTGTTTAGGTTCTGCAAAAGCTTGATCGTCCCATGCTGTATTCTTTGTCTCCTGGAACCAGCGCGTCACCAACCATGGCAAAAGATATAAGTGGATTGGTAAACATGTACAGGGTCACCGGGGATGATTGGGATACATGGGGAGACGTTGCAGCTCATTTTGATGTTGCAAGGTGGATCTAAGTTGTCATGGAAAATAAGAGCTTAAAATTCAAATTACATGTAGATTGCCCTCCCTAATTGGTGTTTTTCTTCTATTCTTCCATTTTTTGATGTGATGTCTTGTTCTTCTGCTTCAGGGACTTCGCTGCTGCTAATAAGATTGGTGCCAAGGGCTTGCTGGGGAGGTCATGGCCTGACTTAGATATGCTACCCTTGGGATGGCTGACAGATCCAGGTGAAAAGTTAGCAGATTGTTCTTTTTAATTCTAGCACTTCTTAAGTAGTTTTGTTTTGTAGAGAGTTAGCGAGACTGAGTGGAGGAAACTGATTACAACATAAATTACTGAACTGTGTGTTGAATGAAGCAATGGAACGCTTGCTGTTACATGGTGGTAGCAAAACAGCATAGCTTGCATAGGTCCATGCTCTTGAGTGTTGATCATGTTAACTAACAGTAACAAAAACACATCCTAGTAACAACTTCCTTGAAAAGTAATGCATCTGGACCAGTTTTTACCTTGGGTCTAGGGGTTTGCAACCTAAATTGCAGAGTATTCATGATTAACTTGAAATTGTTTAAAAGGTTCCACTAAAAAGAACAAAAATTTGAATAATCACATTGCTTTTCTGCATCCTAGGTTCTAACAGGGGACCATACAGAAGGTGTAACCTAAATCTAGATGAACAAAAAACTCAGGTATGTATATGCAACTCTAAATGTGTGTCAGTCTAATGTTAATAAATAAGCTTTTTTTATTGATGACTTGATACAAGTTTTTTCTTTGTAGATGACTTTGTGGGCAATGGTCAGATCCCCTCTCATGTTTGGAGGAGATGTTAGAAAGCTTGATGAGACCACATACAGTTTGATCACGAATCCCTTCATTCTGGAAATAAATTCTTTTAGCACAAACAATATGGAGGCATGTGAAACAATGTTTTTTTTAGAGGCCTTAGGAATATTAACTGATTTTTTCCCTGATATATCATGACATTGCACATGCAGTTTCCTTATGTTACTGGTACAAAGGGTTCTATACATAAGACCATGGCTCACAGCCAACAATCAAGAAAATGTTTGAAGGAAGTTGCATCACGTACACACATTCTGGGTCTCACTAGCTGCAATAATCCCAAAGTTAATGGATGGTTAGTTCAAGCTCTTGACGATCTTGACCAGATATGCTGGAAAGAGAACTTGCAAAGCCACGAACCTTTATGCCTATACAAGCGAAAACCTCTTTTGGCTTCGTAATGTCTTTTACCCTGCTTAGTTGTTCCAAACAACAGGCTATTATTATGACATCCTCTGATGCTGTGAATGGAAATGTAGTGATGAACAGTTAATTTACAATCAAGGCGAGCTCCATTTATTAGCCAGTGATGGAATGGAGTTTTGCTTGGATGCTTCTTCAAGACAGAAGCGTACTTCAAAAGAACTAAAGAGCAGTTCCTTCTCCCCCTGCAGATCAGATGCCAATCAGGTAGCTCTTCATTCACAATTCCCTAATTTCTAACGAAGGCACAGGAGCTAGTTTCCTGTACAATTTTAGTGGAACAAAGAGAAGACAAATGTCACTTTCTTGCAGAATCATGTATAAATTGACCGCAAACAATTAACAAATACATAAAGTAGGAAACTATAACTGTCTGATTGTTGAAGCTCCAAATTATAATATCATTATTTAATTAATGGTTATAATTATCATCATATGAGTGATACTTGAAGGCACAGGAGCTAGTTTCCTGTAAAATTTTAGTGGAAAACGGAGAAGACAGATGTCACTTTCTTGTAGAATCATGTATAAATTGACTGTAAACAATTAACAAATACACAAAGCAGGAAACTATAACTGTCTGATTGTTGAAGCTCCAAATTATAATGTCATCATTTAATTAATGGTTTTGCCAGAATGGTTATAATTAGCATTATATGAGTGATACCTGAAAGCAAACTCTCAATTTCAACAGATGTGGGAGTTAAACAATAATGGATCCCTTATCAGCAGCTATTCTGGTCTATGTGCAACTGTGAACTCAATTGATGGTAATATGCTAGAAGTTCAAGCTGATTTTCCACATGTTCATTAAGGGCCACTCGATGATTTTTCCTTGCCATGTTAATATATATGCAGCTAATGTTGGTAACAGTGGAGTTCGCTCTTGGATTGCCACTGGAAGAAAAGGTTTGATGCCCTCCAAACTCTCGATAAATTTGGTTTCAATGTCACCATTCCTTGGCAGTATTTTTAAAAGAACCCAGAGAAGTTTGTGGTTTAATGAGAAACTTGATCCCTAGGATGATTTTCCATTTCTTGATGAGTGCGTTCCAATTTTTGTTGAAGTTTTGGCAGAGGTGAGACTCAAACAAGAGACATCAACCTTCTTGCCTACTAAGTGTACCACTGAGCTACATGCTTACTGGTTACCCCCAAGATGATTATGATCGTTACCCTTGGTGAAGGGAAGCTATTTAAATCGAACTGTTGTGTTTTTCCATGTATCTGGGGTGGAAAATAGTCTGCTCAATATCAATATTCATGCCTTCATTTATTATTGTTGTTGGGCGTATATGTTTATTTTATAGTTTCCAAATTGCCTCGTTCACAAAGGAACGATCTTCTCCTCTTAGCTGCCAACTTGTTTGTCTAGTATGGCACTCTGGTAGCGTCTAATCATACCTATGAATTATGATTGATAATTAGCATGCCTACAGTCATTGATCTGAAAACTCCTAGGGCATACTGCATATGTATCTATTTCTCTTAATACATCAATGCCTTTGCCTTTCTGTTTACTCAGGACAAATTTATGTCGCACTTTTCAATCTGAACTCGGTGAAGATAGTAATATCAGTGAAGACATCAGACATGGCTAAGGTTCTTCCTGGGAGAAACTTCAATGGGACATCATGCCACGGCAGAGAAGTTTGGAGTGGAAAAGATTTCGGAAAAATAGAAGATTTAATATCAATGGGGGTAGAGGTGCATGGTTGTGCATTGTTCGTCCTCAACTGTCCCTAGTGTAAACCGACACGGCAGAGTTTGTTTCCTTGCCATCCCCTTCTTTTCCTTTTCTTTCTCACTCTCTGTTATTGTATGAGCGAAAAGAAGAGGTGGCTGTTGTATCAAAGGCAATGAACCAATTTGATAACTGTTTAAAATGTTTTTTTTTTAATGTATTAAAATAATATATTTTGTTATTAAATAATTTTAAAAAATAAAATTTTAGAGAAACAAACGCTTGTCAAACACTAAGAAGTAAGAAATGGCATGTTGATTCACCACTCTCCCTGTATCCTTCGATGGACAGCAGTCTCCGATCCAGCGCACGCCTGAATCACATGCCGGCAGGATAACTCCAACCTGAAAAACTTATTCGTCAAAAAAAGTCAAAACAATATTTTTCGAAAAAAAATATACTTTTTAAAAGTCAACAGACTTAACAGGTCAGTTCTTTTTTATCTTTTATGAACCCGGCCCGAGCCGACCCGGGTTGTTTTTTTGACAGCTACACTGGGGAAGGTTATGCTGGTAAATAACCATTGAAAAAGCATCAGCTGCCGGTCTTTACAGCTACACTGGAGAAGGTTATGCTGGTAAATAACCATTGAAAAAGCATCAGATGCTGGGTTTGACAGCTACACTGGGGAAGGTTATGCTGGTAAATAACCATTGAAAAAGCATCAGATGCTGGTTTCGATAGTGCTTACTCAGGGAGGGGGGTGTTTCTCGGAATTTTGCTTTGGTTCTTGGATGTTTTGTAGAGGTATTTTTTTATTTTAAAAATATTAAATTAATTATTTTAGTTTTTTTGATGATTTTAATATGTTAGTATTCAAAATATAAAAAATTATTTAAATATATTGTGAGTTTGTTGGTAGAAGAGAAAGAAACAAACGAAAAAATATGCACTGAAGAGTGAAAGAGAAAAGGATAATGCTGGGTGGAGAGGTGACGGCTGCTTAGGTGTGTATTTTTTACGAGTTTTAACTTTTTTTAAAAAATATTTTTAATTTTTTTGAAAAATATTAAAATAATATTTTTAGTTAAAAATAATTTTTTAAAAATATTATAAATGGCAATACTTAATATTTTAAAAATTATTAGCATGGGTTAAAATCGTGGGTTACTAGTTACAACTTAAACATTTTAAGTTTTCTCAATTTAAAAATAATATAACTAGTTTTTGTTTCGCATGATTTTTTTTATTTTTTATTTTAAAAAATATTAAATTAAATTTTTAATTTTTTATAATCTTATGGTATCAATCGTAAAAATGTTTTTTGAAAAAAAATATTTTTTTAATTAAATATACTTTAAAAAAGCTTAGTCACATGGAAAAGTTTACTACTTTTCTTAAAGCCCAAGTGAATCTTCCCCGTTAAGAAAATCCTGAAAAGTTACACAAGCTGGATGAGCTCCTAGCCTACCCCTACTAGTCAAGGCGTCTGCGCAGCTAGCATCGCAAAGCTACCCGCCCTTTTCCACCAAAAATGAAGGTGGAGATTCCGAAGAGCATCTTGACCGTCCAATTGAATGAATTCGAAAATCACTGACGCCTCCCTTGCAAGTGGGCCACACAATCCTCCACTACCCCCAACTTACCAACCAAGTATCCCTGCAACCTATCTTCCTCTGATCTCATCGAGTCTGATCACTCCCATCTCATCACCCGCGGGTCTCCTTAGCCCTTCTTTCATCCCTTCCCGTTTATATTAAAAATTAAAAATATTTGAAAAACAAAAACCATCGACGCACCAAAACTCAACTGCAACCTCCCTCCTTTTTCTTCATCTTCATCAACGCATGTTCCCGGTGCTCCGGTTCCCTTAACGGAGCCCAAGCTCAACACCCACCCGAATCTCTATCCCTTTCTGAACTCACCAATTTTTCATTATTCCAAAAATCCTTTAATTTTCCATTGCCCCTTTGCGGATCTTTTTTTGTTTTTTATTTTTTAAAATGTCAAAACAGAGGAGCAAAATCGGCGCATGGGCAGCCGATGCGGAGCAAGCCGAGGAAGAGGAGCGTGCAGCCGTTGCAGCAGCCGTTTCTCAAAGTTCCCCTAAACTGAAAGAAGTTGCCGGAACCGCTAAGAGTAAAAAGAAGATAATGTCTCTAAATGAATTCCACTCCACGTCCTCCGGCGGCGGTTTTGAATCCAGAGGATTGACTCCGGACGAGAGGTTCCGCCTCCCTACCGGTCCAAAAGAGCGTTCCGAAGAAGAAATGCAGTATGGACGCCTCGGCAGTGGATTTTCCAATTATGGTCGAACTGGGCCGCAGCCTGGACGTATGCGTGATCGTGAAGACAGCGATGGATCTTGGGGAGGTGGTGGTGGTGGTAGAAGGCAATTTGGTGGCGGTTATGATGATGATCGGAGAGGTCCATCTTCTTCTAGGGTTTCTGATTACGATCAGCCTTCGCGTGCTGATGAGGTTGATAATTGGGCAATGGCTAAGAAACCACTGCCTTCATATGATTCTGGACGACAAAGCCGTTACGGTTCACTCGGCGGTGGAGGCGGTGGCGGTGGTTTTGGAGGTGGTTCTAGAGCTGATGAAGTTGATAATTGGGCGGTTGGTAAAAAGCCGTTATCTACTCCATCTTCGACTTTTGGTTCGGGTTTTCGTGATTCTGGGCCGGAGTCTGATCGCCGGAGCAGAGGAGCATACCGTGAGCTGGAGAGGGAGAGGCCTAGATTGGTTTTCGATTCACCAAGTGGTGAAGTTGGAGTTAACGAGCCTGTGAAATTGGACAGGCCAAATCCATTTGGAACAGCGAGGCCGAGAGAAGATGTATTGGCAGAGAAAGGATTGGATTGGAAGAAGCGGGAGATGGAAATAGAAGCTAAGAAGACTATGAGCTTACAATCTAGCAGGCCAACTAGCGCGCATTCTAGCAGACCTTCTAGTGCGCAATCGAGTAGGTCTGAAGGGCTAGGGCTGCAGCAACAAGGATTTGAGAATGTGGCTGTGAAGCCAAGGCCGAAAGTGAATCCTTTTGGAGAGGCAAAGCCCAGGGAGCTTTTGTTGCAGGAAAGAGGTCAGGATTGGAGAAAGATTGACCGTGAGTTGGAGCATCGTGGTGTAGATAGGTATGTCTTGTGGCATTATTATTGCTGTGAACGTATGTTGTTCACGTGGTTTTCTTGGAATTGCTTAGAAATTAATGTTCTTGTGTGTTTGCTTGCTTTGGTGTTTGCATATTGACAATACGAGGGTGCTTTGTTTATCTTATCGGGCTTCAAACTGCTTCTTTTTTCTTGTGGATATTTCTGTTCTTTTAAATTTGTTGTGGGGTATACAACATGCTAGCCATCAGCTTATCTTATAATGATAATAGGACATGGAGAGGAATCTGGATAATTTTGAATTACATGATCTGATGCTTTACTCATATTATCAGTGCCTTGTTGTTATGCAAAACATGTTGACTGACAACCGTGCCTATTGCACTAGAATTTTGATGCTAGATATGGGCCAACATTTCTTCTTATACTGGCCCTTTCCGAATCTGAATCTTGATTTGTGATGTAAAAGATATAGTTTGTTTGAAAAGCCAAGGCTGTTGACCAGACTCAAATTTGAATAGGCTGAGCTCCAAATCAGACAAGCTGGTTCTATCCCATGTTCAGCTAAAATTTTCTTGTTCACAGTCATTGTTTCTAGGCTTATCCTTAATTATTATTATGCTTGGACGATATGTAGTTGCTAAATAACAATCAGAAAAGGGTAGCTCGGTTCCTATTGTCATTGAAGGTTTTGTGTTTCTCATATAAATGCTACTATTTTGCCTCTTATCTTTATTCTTTTTCAGTCACTAGAATATATATATATATATATATATATATATATATATATCATAGTGAGTTTGTTTCAGTAAAGTAATTTCTCTTGGGCTAAGTGACTGAACTGAAGAGGATTGCATTGCAACATCTGCATCTACCATTGACAGGCATAAGCAAGTTGTGTTATTGTTTTTAATTTTACAATTGGGCCTTAAAGTTGGCAAGCATTTGATTCTCCATTACTTCTTGAGAATCACGGATAATATCCTTTTGTGCAAACAGGTTTTTGTGCCTGCTTTTTTAGCTTTCTTATATTTTCAGTAAGTTTTCTCATCATGTTTTATGATGAGAAATTTTTGTTACAGCTGATACAAGCATAAGATGGAGAAGTCTTGCCTTCCAAATTTCATTACTAGATTACTGTACTTTGATGGATGATGTTGTCTTGTTTTCATGTCATGTGGTGGTTGGTACTTTCTTTTAATTTCGTTAGGGAATAGATCTGAGTGCAACAGAGTGAGTTTTACTAAAAAAACATGGTTTCTATTTTTAGATTTTATACCTCTGCTATATACATGCTAACATACCGACTATTTGGGCTGGTTCTCATTGTGTCCGCTTTTACTTGACAGAAATTTTTTTTTTTTGTAAGAAAAAAAGTTTTCTAGGGCAATTTTTCCTATCTTATTTATCTCCTTTACATGTTCTTCTTTACTGTCCTCAACCACTAGTTGAATGCTATAATGTTATCTTTTCCATCATCATGCGCATGGAAATACACTTTGAAACTAGGAACTTGCTGATCTACTAATGTTCGTAATTTGTTCATGTCATTTATCTATTTTTAAATTGCTCAAAGTTTTAATGTCTTGTTAAATCAATTTTACTAGTTCAGGTTCTTGAATGGATAGTCATGGTCAATTCTAGCTAGACTTTTGTGTTACTCTTGATCTCAGGACATTTGTTTGTTTTGAATTGAATTCAGTTGGTGACATGCCACTAACACAATGTTTGAAAATTAAGAAGGAACAAGAAAGAGATGGGTAGTGCAAAGATGTTATCCTCTGTGTTTATAAGCTTCAATGTTCTACTTTAGGGGCCAAAATATCTGCATAATATTGCTGGTTAGAGTATAATCTTGTCCACTTGATCTAGAATGTTTATGATCTTCATGGGAAAAAAAAAAAGTTTACAGGCAATTAGAAACGAAGAAAGGAGAGGTGTGTGAGGTAGAGACCTTTGTGACTAATTGATATATATACCTTCAGAAAATATTAAACTCAAGGTTAATTTCTGTCCATAGAAAAGTAGGCATAAGGGGTAGTTTAACAGAACCCACATAGGCACGCATGTATAGACTGGTGAGGGTTTCTATTTCTTTTTTCCAGCTTATTTTGTTTGACTTTTCAACTTTAATTCAATAATTTTTTCTTAGTGAAGCATGCATAAATTGACATTGCACATGACCAAAACATCTTAAATGATTTCCAGCAGCTCATTTTCTATAGGTGTTGCTTCCAAATTCTCATGAATGCATATGTTTCTCAAATATTTGATCATGATTTTCCCACGAGGGAGAGGTCCTTCCCTTTTTGGCCGCTTGTGGTCGAGTAGGGATTAGTGACGTGCTGAAATCCTTAGTTATAAGCCCCACTTTGTCTCTGTTGGCTATGTCTCTAGGAATACCCTAAAATGTAACCTTTCCACTCCCCAGCCATTGCAGAGTAAGATGTGAAAGCACCTCTCTGTCTCTATTGTCTCCTTTTCACTTGTGCTCGTTTATTGTACTTTCGATGTCATGTAGGATAATATTCAAACTTGAAAGAAGTAGAGTTCAATATAAGGGAAAAATATAGCAAGAAGAAAGAAATCCTATAGTAGTGGGTAAATCCTATAGAAGAGGATTGAAGAATTGAAAAAAGACCAAAGAGAGAGTTCAAATAAACAAAGGAAACATACTTAATTCCGAGTCTCAGTTTATCATCAATTAATGTTGTTAACATTCTACTATGAAGATATGGTGTTTACAAAGACACCAAGAGACCCTAGTGTCCTAAACTAATAGAAAAAAAAAAATCCTAAAAAAATATTATCTTTTAATAAAAATAATAACAAATCCTAAAAATCTACTTAAATAATAATAAATCTTAAACAAAATATTATCCTTTTCTATTAGTAAAGCTACGGAATCTATTGAAATTCTAAATTTTGTCCATAAACTTCAATGCATATATTGAGACTGGAGGCATGTTAGTAGTTCAAGATTGCCTTATAAGGGATTAGATTCCTAAATAAGAAAATACTAACAGTCTAAAAAACTAATAAAGTTGATTACTATTTAGGACTAATAAAATACTAAATAGGAAAAAAAAAACTATTTGACAAATTTTCGAGATTTTCTGGTGAATATTGAAATTCCTGAAATACCTGTGTGTGAAAGACATAAATTTTGCATCTTTTGTTGTCTGCATAATCTAGTTGTAAATGGATGCTTTAGAATGATATGTTTTCTATGCTTGTGCTCATTTTCAGCTCTTTGTGAACTGTGTCCTTGGTTCTCATGGTGACTTATGAACTTTTATTCTTGGTACCAATTTGTTTCAGGCCTGAAACTGAAGAGGAAAAATTATTGAAAGAAGAAATAGAGCATTTGAAGAAGGGGCTTGAGAAAGAACTCACAACAAAAGGGAACCAGGAATCTCCACGAGGTTCTGCTGACAACATACCCAGTTTAAGGGAGATGATATCTGAGAAAGAAAGGGATTTAGAAATTTTGGTCCTTGATTTGGATGACAAAGTTCGATTTGGATCAAAAGCCATTGAAAGGCCAGGTTCAGGGGCAGGCAGGGCTTCTGGGTTTTCAGAGAGACCTCCTTCTAGATCTGGGTCATTTGACGAGTCTAGAAATATGGAGTTAATGGATAGGCCTCGATCTCGTGGCAAGCCAGATATTTGGACAAGGCCTGTTGATGACCGAAGAGCATTTCAAGGTGGAAGGGAAAGAGGATTTCTTGGTAGCAGAGATTTTGACAGGTAAAGATATAGCAATGGTTTCTTTCGTGTATTTCAGATCTTCCCCGACGCATTAGCTAGAAAGTAGCTTTTTGCCAACTCTTTCATTGTGGGACCCTTAAGGTCTTATTTTGTTCAATGTAATGCCAGCCATGGTTGCATCTATTAATATGGCCAAAAGGTTCGGTGGTTAATTTTAAGCTGACCATTTCATTTAGGAAGTTAATACTTTACCAGAAGGCCATGAGAAAAAGGTTTGTGAATGAACTCATAATATCAATGGAACTTTTTGTTGGAACACTGCATGAAACTTTGAGAATTTTGTAGTGGTTTTCTTTCAATAAATTAGGTGCAACCCTTTTACCTTGTTTTAATTTTTGAAACCATCAGTCGAAAGAGCATGTTATTTCAAAAAGCCTAGAGATCTAGTTAACATGCAAGAGTTTGGGCAACGAGAGCCACAAGCATCATCTTCTAGCTGAGAGTTAACAATCAGAAGTGGTTTAAGGCAAAGGAATACTTTGAAACCTCTATTTGGACTCTAGTTCACCATGATTGCTCTAGTTGTGAGTGTAAAGGCTAAACTGATCCAGCTGTTTGCAAGTGCCTTGCAATCACCTAGGAGAGTACTTCGATGAAATGCTTGATGTATTATTTTTCATACTCATCTAGAGATCTAGTTAACATGCATAAAAAAGGTATCAAATTTTGTTAAAACCTAACCTTTTCTGCATGGTTGTTTTATTCTCCAAGTTATGGTAAAATAAAAATGACTACCATGCTTGTTTTGCCATAATCATGTTATTGTTTTTCATGGCATATGCATTCCTCTCGGTTCCAAGCAGAGTAAAAATGAAATCCCTCCTGAATGCTAAGAAGGTTTTTCTTGACAGGCTGCGGACGGAAGATAGATGGTGAGAAGCTGGCGGTGTTGATTCATTGAGTTCTCTTCATCTTTGACAACAGAAACCAAATAATATTTTCACTTCTTTTCCTTTCTTATTCCTTGTATTTTTTTTTTCTTTTTATTTTGCATGTTCTTGTTTTTTGCTCTGGAATGAACAAGGATTAATGAGTTTTTAGCATTGGGTTGATCTGTTGTTACATCTTGAGACCAGGCAAAACTGAATTTCCACCCCTTTTAGTCAGTTTTGAGGCAAGGAAGCTGTCTTTTTGGTAGGAGTCAATTTATTTGAACACTTCGGAACCTATAGGTTTTTCTTTCGCCGTGTCCTTCGACAGTTCCAAGTATTATAAAGTTAAATTGTTCTGTTGTGCCTGAGCTCAGGAAGCTGCTTTATGCTAAGTGCTATGCTGTCAATTGATTCTTTTATTGCTTATGTTTTACTGCATGGAGATGAGTGTTTTTTTTTTTTATCTACGTGCTTGAGGGATTACTTCATTTTCACTTGTTTTGCTGCATTTTGTGCTGATGGATAACTTACACCACCATTAATATTTTGCAATGCTAGTTCATGCTTTATAGGTGCTCCACCACCACTTGGATAACGAGTAACAGAGACAGGGTTTCCTTAACAGAATGAAGAGAACTTCCTCCGGTTCATCATTGATGACTCCTCAGGTGCTGCTGCACATGTCGGACTCATCTGAATAGCGGGTCACACTGAGAGTGTGTACGTACTATCGCCTGGTATGCCAGATTTAGGTCGGATTTTGCATCGGAATATTCCTGGTAGTGGCTCTTCATGAGACTGCATTAAGTTGGAGTTGTTAACATGCCATGTTAGTAAAATAGAAGGTTGATTTGTGGAGAATATGACATTTACGCCCATAATAGAACCACCCAGATGATCGTCAATTCCAATCTAACATGTTTTCCCACACATTTTGAGGATTACAATATTAAATTTTGAAGTCTTGATATAGGGGTTATTTTTTATAAAGTACAAGCAATTTTTATTTTATGAAGTATAATTAATAAATATATCTTATTTATTTTTAAAATATTTTGTTAAATGAAGACTTGATGATTGTTCAGGGGACTTTTAGATCAGCTGTGTGTCCATTCGTGATCGAGAGCAAAATGCCTCCATATCATGCAATGTACGTTTCTTCATTCCCAACTTTGCATTTGTGATCATGATCATTCCTATCACTTTTCTTCCCTGATAAAACTTCAGATTTTCTTTCACGTTTCCACATTTTTTGAATGTCCATAATGCCACGAAATGGATCAAAATTGGGTTGTTTTTACTTCATGCAGATGGGAGCAAGAGCGTAACTAAGTGGATGCCAAAAGTTCAGAAGCATCAAGGTTGAATTGGAGTAGATGCAAGAGTGCTATTTCCAACTTTAATTCTAGCCATAGACATGTGTGTTCACAATATTTTGTAAGGGAATGTTAGTGTGTGTTTTCATTGTAAATATGCTTGTCTGGTTCATGGAAACCCACCCAACTTCACTGTTGTGTGGCGATGTGTGGATGAATGAAGTGTTAAAATAAAAGGTAGAATAAAAGTTTTTAATGGTTGAATAACAAATTGATCAAGTTTTTTCTCCTGATGCTAAGGTTAAAAAAAAAATAATGAATGCCTGTGAATATATTTTATACAAAGTATTAATAAAAAATAATATCTCTTATAGAAGTATTAATAAACATTAATTAAAAAAATTCAGCATTTTTTTCGGTTTAAGAAGTAAATTAAGATGTATTTTTTAAGGGTTAGGCTCGGATTATACATCCTAACTTATCAAAAAATATTGAATATATCTAACATCTAAGTTCGGGTTTCAACCTGAGCTCATCCTTTTTTATGCTCGAGTTCCACCCAAACTTTCGAAAAATATTTTTGAAAATGAGCTAAAAAGTTATAGTTTTGGACTCGTGTTAGTGTAAAAAAAGAAAAGGAAATCTTGATCCGTCTCTTAGCTATCAATTAACCATGGCCTCCTACTACTCTTCCCATCAAGCGCTGCAATAACTTCGAAGGGTTCCTCCGGAGAACCAGCTCATTCTACTTTCAGAGATGGACACCACATAAAGTGGTAGCGTGAAAATAATTTAACAGGCAACTGAAGCAAAGGTTGTCTACTTCCATTATGACGGAGCACCACATATATATATATTGTTTAGCGAGGCAAAGTAGAAGAAGCATGGCAAGTCTGATTTCACCGTTTCAAAGCACATAGCAACGATATACTCGTTGACTTAATATGAGCGCCGTCTGTGGGGATCGAACCCACGACCACATGGTTAAAAGCCATGCGCTCTACCTCTGAGCTAAGACGGCTAGGTGGTACAGTGGCTCCATTTCATGATCACAAAATCAAAATAATCTATGTATTCATTAATAACGACTCCACTGGGGATCGAACCCAGAATCTCTGGTTCCGTAGACCAGCGCCTTATCCATTGGGCCATGGAGTCCTTGTTGACTTCTTTCTGAAAATATAGAAATTAATAAATAATAAATTTCTGTAAAATTTTTGGTACTTGGCATTTGATTTTTTTTTTTTTTTTCGTTTTGAGAAAATTATATAGCTACCACATGATTGTCATCTAGTCCATTCCTGTTTATTTTTAAAGAATATAGCATTCAGTTAAAAAAAAAGAAGTTTCAGTCAATGCTATTTTCAACTCGAAGGGCAACACAAATCACAATAATCTAAACATAATATAGAAAATATCAAACATGTTTTTACTTAAGATTTAAAAATAAAAATATATCTATTTAAAAAAATAATAGTATTTGTAAATGCAGTTTTTTTCCCTATTATGTATTGTTTTCATTTTGTGTATGCTGAGTAATAAATCTTTTTTTGAGTGTTCAGCAGATCACCAACAAATTATTTGCTAATATTTATATCCAATGATATCAACGCCAACAAATTATTGATTTAAAAGCGCGTGAAGTATAAAAAATAAAATTAATATTTTTTTAATATTTTAATATTAAAAATAATATTAAAATTCTGTTTATTTTTATATTTTAAAAATTATTTATTTATTTATTTTAAATTAGTTTTTTTATATGCTTATATATTGTTTTGATGTACTAATATTAAAAATAAATTTTTTTATTTTAAAAAATAATTACAATAACAGTAAAATAAATATGCTATATCCTAGCTCATTTATATCTGGTATTGCGATTGTTGTTGTGGTTATAGTTTGAAAAAAATTATTTTATAAAAAGTATTTTTAATCGAGGTTGAGTTAGAAAATATATGTTTGATTAAAACTGTGATTTTGAGTTGGAAAATATATGTTTGATTAAAACTGTGATTGAAATTGAAGTTAAATAAAAAATAATTTAATGTGTTTAATTAAAAATGCTTTTAAAATTGAGGTCATAAAATAATTAAAAAATATATATAATAATATTAATGGGTTTTAATTTAAATATTGTAGATTTAACTATTGTTATTATATCATGAAGTAAATAGTACTTTATATAAAATATTTTTTATTTTTTTATTTAATTATCTATAATTTCTCACTTTTGAAATATATTTGATAATTTTCTTGATTTTTTAAATGTGTAATAACATAACTTATAAAATATAACTGGGAATAAAATTAGAATTGTAGTTAAATGCTATAAATATTATATTATCAAACAAATAAAAAATAATTTTTTTATTTTACTATATCAAAATTAATTTAATGTATTTTATACATTAAACTGAATCCATGCAACTAGAAAAATAGAGCGGTGCTATATTGCAGCAGCCTTCAGTTTAGTGAACAGTGGATATTGCTACACTGTTTACTAAACGAGAAAAGCATGCTTTACTATTTACCGAACAATATAGCATGATTTCTCTTTTTATCCGTGCAAAAAAGCAGTCATTTGCTACTTTTTTTCTCTCAATATTTTATATACAATTTATTATGGAATCTATATATAGTAAATTATTTTTTTAATCAAATATTTATAAGCTACTATTTGCTTTAAAAGCAATCGCAGCTGCAGTGGGAAACGGTATTAGCTGCCGTATCTGAACGGAATATATCGACGAATTGACTGTGTTAAATGATTAACCTAGGCAACAACAGTGTGACCCTAATGCTAGACTTGCTAGTGGCTCCATGGCTCCGTCTTTACTACGATTTTTAAAATTATTTTTTTAATTAAAAATATATTATTTTTCATTTATTAAAATTATTTCAAAACATCTTTAAAAATTAATTTAACATCTTATCAACTAAAAAAATAATTTTAAAAAATAAACTGCAACATTCATTTTTAAAATGAAAAGTCACCAGGTTTATTGACCATGCCTTTCGTATTGATCATCAATTTCTTGGACATTTACCTGTCATCGGTAAATTAGCTCCAACGCATCTAGCTGAAAGCAAATATGATAGGGTTCTGTTTGTTTTATTTTTTTAATATTAATATATTAAAATATTCTAAAAATATAAAAAACTAATTTTAATATTAATCTGGGTTGACACCTTCTGCGTTATTTAATTTAATCACTAACACGAATTAAAACGTCAATTATAAGAAATTGTTGCCTACGGCCAAAGAATTCTTTCGTTCTAACACATTTGATATTGGTCAGAATGATCGTACCAGCGGTTGTTTCTTAAACACGACTGGCAGGGAAGGTAATTAGCTAGCTGCTTTTGTATTTTAAAAATAGTTTTCAAAAGTTTTAAACTTGTTTTGTATTTTAAATTAAATTTTATAGTGTTTTATATTATTTTAATATATTAATATTAAAAATAAATTTTAAAAAAATTGTTGTAATATACTTTTTAATAAAAAAACATTCATTTCCGCAGCATTTGTCCCTGAAGTGCCCGACCAATTTAAAAATACTGTTTCGATAAGAAGAATCATATATGGTTTGGAATTGTGTTTGAAAAATATTTTTAAAAAAAATTAATTTTTTTAGTTTTGAATTAGTATGTTTTTTATTTTTTGAAATTATTTTTATATATTAATCTTAAAATAATTTTTAAAAAATAAAAAAATATTTTAAAAAATAATTATAACTATACTCTTAAACTAAACCATTTCATCTGCATTAGCGGTGCAGCCGTGCAGGTCCATTTGGTTGTGTATCTTATGCCCTCGATGGCAGTCAAATATCAGCAGCAGATTTGGAACTCCATTTAATGAAGTGGCTCAATATTTCAATCTTGGATTAAAGAAGGTTGTTTTTCAATCATGACGGGAGTTAACATTGGCTGCCATAACTCTTCTTGATATTTAAGTGGTGTTTTGCATTATGGTTTCATTGTATTTTTTTATATTCAAGCTATATATATATATATATATATATATATATATTTTGTTTTATATATATATATAGCTTGAATTATTTTAACTTTTTTTTAATTTTATCCTTTAATATTTTTTAGTTGGACATTTTATTTTATTTTTTTAATTATTTTCTTTCTACATTCTTTGTTTTTTTATATTTAATTGGATTACCTTGAGTTTTTTATTTATTCTTTTTTGTTAAGTTGATTTTATTCAAAATGAATTTTTTATTGAATTAAATAGAGTTAATTGATTGATTGAATATGATTAAATATAGGCAAATTCTATTTTGTTTAATTTACTTTTTTGAGGCATTATTTTAATATCTTCGTGGAGCCTTCTACTGTAAGATTCGAAACGTCTCAACAAAGGTAACGGGTGGTATTCACAGTAAAATAACGACAGATCTTTGAAGGTTTTGTTCTTTCTTCTCCTTGCACAAATACTTTGTTGACTTTGCCAGATTTTCTTCTCGACATCTTGTTTGTTATCTTCGCTTGAGGTTTAGATTAGATTATTAAATTACCTGATTTTGCTGGATGCATCAAGTCGATCCCTCGAGCATCGAGTTTTTCTTATTTCTTTAAAAGCACTGCAATTGTCTTCGCATCTTTTTAGCATTAGAAAAGTTTCAGACTGCAATACCGATCTAGTATAAGACTGTTGCACTGTTACGTAGTGATAATTATGAGTTGAAAGTCAACCGCAGGGTTTAATGAATCGCTGAGAGCACGTTGTGGCCATGGTGGAAAGGACGATGACAGCAGGTACCTTGGATGCGGAGCAAGGAAAACCGTGGGTGGCAAAGAAATATCAGCGGGTAGACCCTGCAAAGACCCACCGAATCGATTATCCGGGACGGTGTCCACTGCACTCAAGCAGCTGACAAATGGGTTTCCGATCAGATTGTTGACGGTTCCATTCCATGGAGGGAGATTTTCTCTCTTTCTTCTTTTCGTGTTTAAATCTTGAGGACAACATCTAGTATAATTTATTTCCTAAGATTATACAGGTCAATTTTGCAGGATGTTTCAAATTAGTGTAAAGATATTCTCAACTTGGAAAAAGAAGAAAGCTTCTTTTTTTTATTGTTTAATAATTGTTTATGAAGCAACTCTTTTGTGCTGTATCTTTCCCTCCTTTTCTTTTTTGAATTATGTGTAACAAAATTAAAACAACTTTTCCATTTTTAGTTTCCTATTTCATTTATTAAGATGAACTTCCTATTTTATAGAAATTGGGGCTAGAAATTAATCTAAAAAAAAAAAAAACCTGCTTGGAACTGCGCTAACTTCTATTTTTAGATATTTTAAAAAAATATATTTATCTTTAAAAGAGTGTCAAATTATTTTTTTTAATATTTTTGATGTAAAAAAATAAAAAAATAAGTCAAAATAAAAAAATCTATTTAGAATGGGCTAACTTCTACTTTTAGATTTTTTTAAAAATATATTTATCTTTAAAAAATATTAAATTAAATTATTTTATTTTATTTTATTTTATGTTAAAAGTAAAAAAATATGAAAAAAAACGTATTTTAAAATAATTTCAAAAATAAAACAATTTTAAAATAACATGTGATCAATCAAGCTCAACCAGTCTTAATTTAGTGATAGTTTCCTATCTTTTACTTTTAGTTTATCCACCAATAATACTAAATCTCATTCTAGGTGTCTCCATCTTATATATATATGTTCACTGCCCTCCTCCAAGGAGGAAGAGCATTTCAAATAAAAGGAGTGAGAAGACGTATCGTCTCCTCTGTTAATCCCACCGCTCAGTCACTAATCGCTTCCCATTCCCAATTCCAATGGAAGCACACCCTTCAAGACTTGTTACGTTGAGCCTCTTTATTTGGATGGCATCGCTACAATTCAGTCCCATGATCCTCACAAAAGCTTCTTCATGTGATTTCCCTGCAATATTCAACTTTGGTGACTCAAATTCAGACACAGGTGGTCTGTCAGCAGCATTAGGACAGGCACCTTCTCCCAATGGAGAGACATACTTCCACCACCCTGCCGGCCGCTACTCCGATGGCCGTTTGATCATCGATTTCATCGGTATGTAGATCCTACGACACATCTACATTTTTTCTATTTTTACTTTTGTCGTGTTGCCTGGGCCGCAACGATGAAATATTGAAACCCCGTCAAACCTAATTTTTGTCCGCGTCGGTTTCGAAAAGGACACCGGGGAAATGATATTTCTGTTCTCTGCCTCCCTCCCTCTCTCTCTCTCTCTCTCTTCCATTTTGTTTTGGTATAAATATAAAGTATATATTATTATATTAATTCAACTTCATTGTAAAAAGAATAAATTTTAAATTAATTGTAATAGTTTTACAAAATGAATTAAACATTCTATCTTAGTTTTAAAAATAAATAATTAATTAATTTTCATATTTTTTAAATTTATCTGTGATTTAATCTTCTTCGTCTATTTTATATTTTTAGTTCATTTATTATTTAAAAAAAATATAAAAATATTGTTGAGAGAAGAAGATATTTTTAATAATAAAAATATTAAAACAAGCCTGATTAGCACTAATCAAAGAATTAGATTGATTTTAAAACTAGGGTGATTATTTAATTTATTTAAAAAAAACTAATTTATAGTTTACTCTAATAAGAAAGAGAGGGAAAAAAAAGCATTCTCAAATTTGAAAACTTGAATTTCTAGCGGAAAGCTTGGGTGTGCCATATCTGAGTGCATATCTTGATTCTGTGGGTTCAAACTTCAGCCATGGAGCCAATTTCGCCACTGCTGGGTCAACCATCAGGCCTCAAAACACTACGCAGTCTCAAAGTGGGTATAGTCCCATTTCGTTAAACGTCCAATCTGTTCAGTATTCAGATTTCAAGAAAAGATCCCAGACAGTTCGTAGTCAAGGTGATCGATCCCATCCCATATTTCTAGTTGTTACAATTAATGTAATTATTGTTATTATTTTCTGATAGATGTTAAATGAATTAATTTGGAAAAGGAGAATGGAAATTTGGAACTATCCGATGAAGTTTTGTTGAATAATCACAGGAGGGATCTTCGAAACCTTGATGCCAAAGGCAGATTATTTCTCCAAAGCTTTGTACACCATTGACATTGGCCAAAATGATCTCACTGCTGGTTACAAGCTTAACTTGACCACTGAACAAGTCAAGGCAAGTGTTCCTGACATGTTAGGCCAGTTCTCCAACGCCGTCAAGGTGAAGCAAGGCTTTTCCTCTACATATACATATATACACATCAATCAATTCATTTTATACATGCATTTTGATCTGATCATGTATGTGCAGCAAATCTATGCCGTCGGAGGAAGATCGTTTTGGATACATAACACTGGCCCAGTGGGTTGCCTGCCATACTCGTTGGACAGGTTTCTAATCACAGCAGCCCAGATAGATAAATACGGGTGCGCCTCCCCATTCAATGAGGTATCTCAATTTTTCAACCATAGATTAAAAGAAGCTGTGGTTCAACTCAGGAAAGATCTTCCCCAGGCAGCGATTACTTATGTTGATATCTATTCACTGAAGTATACTCTAACCACCCAAGCCAAGAAATTTGGTAAATATATTAAATTTTATAGCTTGATCATCAATTCCAGGCTCATTGATGAGGTTTTCACAAAATTAACGTTAACAATAGTTACTAATTAAGTACGTAAATGTTATAATATCATAATTTTTGGGGCAGGATTCAAGCAGCCTTTTGTAGCCTGCTGCGGTCACGGTGGGAAATACAACTACAACAGCCAGAGAAGATGCGGTGCAAAGATCACTGTGAATGGGACGGAGGTGGTGATAGCTAATTCATGCAAAGATCCATCAGTTCGGATAATTTGGGACGGTGTGCACTTCACCGAGGCAGCTAATAAGTGGATATTCCAACAAATTGTCAATGGCTCATTTTCAGACCCGCCAGTTCCTCTGAAAATGGCCTGCCATAGAACGGAACACCCTTGAGTTGCTCAAATTGTGTAAACACAATCTGCCTTTGCTAGCCTCCTTGCTTTTGCTGCTTTTGTTTTCGAACCCAGATGGATGTTCTAATGTTGGCTGTTAAGCACATGGTCCACGGCAAAGCCCAAACAACGTGCTAACTCTTTAAGTGCCATGTTCGTTCGTAATGGGCCAGCCTGAATAACATTAAAAACTTTGATGGATAGATTCAAGTAACAGAAACATGATCTTGAATAGCATGATGTTATTTAATTTTTTATATTAATTATATGTCAATTTTTAAGGAAAAAAATAAAATTCAATCAAAACAAAATAATTATACGAGTTTACTTGATATGAACTATTTAATCTAGCAGATTCAAATATAATAGGTTAACTCATTTAAAATTTGATTTGACTCAAAAATATTTTTAATACTTTGATGTTTTATATTTTTAAAAAAAGTTATGAGATGATAGTATTTTTTATTGGCTGTGAAACTCCTCGTATGAATCATGAAATTAGTTGAATTTAATAATTTTATTTTTAAAATTATTTTTTTATCTAATTAAATAACAAACACACAAAGGAAAGAGATTGTAATTTTTTTTGAAAAATAATATCATGCACACAAGAGCGCTTGTTAGCATTATAAAAACATGCTACAATCCAATTAAAAAACACAAGAAATAAATTATAATACCTCAATACATTTTTAATTTATTTATTTATTAAAGTTAATTAATTCAAAATCATGATTATAGAGGTGACTAAAGTGTTCTGACATTCTCTCCGTAAATAAGTGGCATGTATATTCCAATGGTGATTGAGGTGGCCCGTGTGATTTTTTTTTCTTTTTTACTAGATTCTCATGCTAGCTTAAAAAAGATCAAATCAACTCCTAAGATTTACTGTACTTAAATTTTTATCCGTATTCTCTTTATTACAATTTTTAAAATTTAGAGTAATTTATTTCAATTTTATTCGTGTTCTCTTTATTATAGTTTTTTATTTAGAATAATTTAGTAAATTAATAATTTTTCTTAATTCATCACCAATATTCTCATTTATTATAGTTCATTTTCTTAATTCATCGCCAATATTCTCATTTATTATAGTTCATTTTTATTCTTTTTATTATAATTTGTTTTGTTAATTTAGATAGTTTTTTCAAAAAAAATTCAATTTAATTATTTTTCATTTTTTTCCTATTAAATCTAATCTTTTTTTTATTATTTTATTTTTTTACCTTAAAATATTTATTTATTTATTTATTTTATCTCTTAACATTTAATTAGCTGAATATTTAGCTATTTAGTTAAGTTTAGATCTATAATTTAACGGTACGCAGGTTTAAGAAATTAGCCCTAATTTGCGATGTTGACACAAATTTCTTTGATTTTTTTTTTAAAAAAATCCTTTTGTTTTCATTCATGTAGCATTTTGTTATTTTTTAATTCATGTTCTATGGTGTTTTTTAATTGTTTTGAAAATAATATAGGCTACCTTTTTTTTTATTAGATTTAGTTTTTTCCAGGTGAATTTTGTTTTTAAATTGAATTAAATTATTTGATTTTATTCTTTAATATTTAATTTTTTAGATGTTGAGTTTCCATTTTTTAATATTTAGATGTTGAGTTTCCAGGTTGGATCCAGGTCTAGAATTAATGGATTATGGTTGTCCAGGTCTAGAATTAATGGATTATGGTTTTGAGAATCTAGAATTAATGGATTATGGTTTTGAGAATTTAATCTGGGTTAAAAAAGCTCACTTGGTATTTTTTTTTCTTTCAAGCATTTTTTTTTAAGATTTTATCTACCGACATTCTTTTTTATTCTCTTTCTATTTTTTTATATTACTTTTTAAAATAAAAATGTTTGCCTCAGAGTTTTTTTTTCCTTCGGTCTTTGTTAAATTAAACTTATTTAAAATGAATTTTTTGTTTTATTAATTAAATTATATTAAATTTATGGATTTCATCCTTGTGCATTTCATTTGGAATGTGTTAACTATTTAATTTAGCATAGTTCTATAATTTAATGGGTTAAGAGTTTGAGAGATTAATCCGAGTTTATAAAGTTTACATAGATTTTTTTTTATTAAATATTTTTTTTTCAATTTCATCAACCAACATATATTATTTTTTATTTGTTTTTTATGAGATTTTTCTATGGTTTTAAAAACAACAAGGGTTGGCTCGGGTGTTTTTTCTTTTAACCTTTGTTAAATTTACCTTCTTTAAAAGTAATTTATTTTTTTGTTAAATTAAATTAATTGTATGAAATGTTAAATTCATAATTGGTTTTTATATAAGTTACTATTGTTTTTTATGAGTTACTATCATGACAACACACACGACCTCTTTTAATCACTAAGTTCATTGATTTTTTTATTTATCTTAAATTATTGATATCACATAAAAATCTACTTTTACATTTATAAACAACAAACCCGACTCACAATATAGCATGTGTCATTTATCTAAAATTAGGACTCCCATACAATTCAAGATGGCAAAAAACTATTGTATCGATTTGGTTATGTACAAACCCTGTGATCCTTTCTTGTGTTTTCTTGACTTATTATATTTTGATTTAGTGGGTATTTATTTTATTTTTTGCTTTTGAAGATGTATTTCAAATTAATATTTTATTTATTTTTTGATGATTTTAATATATTGTGTCAAAATTAAAATAAATATAAAAAAATATTATTTTAATTTAAAAACATTTTTACAAATCATTATTGGATCATTATTATTTTAATTTTAAAACATTTTTACAAATCATTATTGGATCAAAATAACAAATATCCATAAACCAACAACAAACCATGTTAGTGTGAAGGCAATACTTAATATTATGATAATAATTTCTTTTTAAAATATTTTTTTGTTTTAAAATATATTAAAATAATATTTTTTAATTTATTTTTAATATTAATACATAAAAACATTTTAAATATATAAATTCCTTTTATAAATAAAGCATGGTATAACTGCATAAACAAACATTCCCGAGATACGTGACAAATGCTAAAACAAATAAGCTAAAGTACGAAATTGTCTTCATATTATATAAATGTGGTTCCATGTGTCATCTCAGTAATCATCTCCTTTGATTATAAGGCGATAAAACAAGATAAGTATAGGACACGTGACATGCTAGTAAGTTGATCCGTGTCAAAAAAGTTAATTTTGGTTTGAATTTTTCTGTAACTCGGTAAACTATAAATAAAAAAAATATCAATTATATATGTGGTTGTACGTTATGTATAAAATACCCCTATGATGATATACTTATGTTTACGTGTTATTTATAAATAAATAAAAAAAATCAAACATCACATATACCCTCAAACCATTGAGTCTCAACTTTGAGCTGAAATTATATTTTTATATCAAATTTACATGTAAATAATTTTTATTTCTTAATTATAATTCATGTTAGAATCACTTAATATGGAAAACGTTAACTTCTATATATATATAGATGAAATAAAAATACAATTTGGATTGATATATAAATGAAAAACTTCAAAATTGGACCAAAATCCTTTATAGAAAATCTTTAAAGACTTGAAGGTCAAATTAATACTAAAAATTATTTTATAACAAAATTATAATTGTTTATGTAATTATAGATATAATTATCAAATATGATTGAAGTATTAATCCAAAAACTAGACTAAGTCACTGGAATATCAATTCACTTGAGTAAATTATTTTTATTAAAAAATATTATTTTATATTTAGAAAAATTAGCATTGATCAGTCAAGTTTGGACAGGATTTGATCAGATCAATTAGGTTTTATTTAATTAATATATTTTTTAATTTAATTTAAAATTCAGTTTAAATTCAATTATTGATTTTTTTTTGAATTAATGTATAAAGTTAGGTCTGGTTTAATAATTATAACTAAAGAACACTTTCGAGGCCCCTCCAGTGGGGGGAAAAAGAACTTTTGGAAAGTAAATTCACCAAAATAATTTGTAGATTCTATACACGTGGAGGGATCCATTGATATCCAAAAACCTGCATGCTACCCGTCTGAAAAAGGTCGGTACAGCGAACCCACAACTCATGTGCTTGTTAATGGCCACACACCTAAAAAAACAAAAAAGAAAAAAAAAGCTTTTAATTAAATTACAGTTTGTGCGCAGCCAGCACATACATCTTGGCCAAATTCCATCTGCCCCTTCCACCTATATGCGCCAGGTCAACCATACCTAGTTAGCCCACCTGGCATTCCCAAGTCTTCCACCTATACACGCCGCTGCTTGTCACCTCTATTTTTACTGGGAATTAATCCAAAAACTAGACTAAGTCACTGGAATATCAATTCACTTGAGTAAATTATTTTTATTAAAAAATATTATTTTATATTTAGAAAAATTAGCATTAATCAGTCAAGTTCGGACAAGATTTGATCAGATCAATTAGGTTTTATTTAATTAATATATTTTTTAATTTAACTTAAAATTCAGTTTAAATTCAATTATTGATTTTTTTTTGAATTAATGTATAAAGTTAGGTCTGGTTTAATAATTATAACTAAAGAACACTTTCGAGGCCCCTCCAGTGGGGGGAAAAAGAACTTTTGGAAAGTAAATTCACCAAAATAATTTGTAGATTCTATACACGTGGAGGGATCCATTGATATCCAAAAACCTGCATGCTACCCGTCTGAAAAAGGTCGGTACAGCGAACCCACAACTCATGTGCTTGTTAATGGCCACACACCTAAAAAAACAAAAAAGAAAAAAAAAGCTTTTAATTAAATTACAGTTTGTGCGCAGCCAGCACATACATCTTGGCCAAATTCCATCTGCCCCTTCCACCTATATGCGCCAGGTCAACCATACCTGGTTAGCCCACCTGGCATTCCCAAGTCTTCCACCTATACACGCCGCTGCTTGTCACCTCTATTTTTACTGGGCTGGATGCTGATTTTTTGCTGGCTAATTTACGAGAAAGAAGAGGTGCACTAGCCACAAAGGCACAAATAAGTTACTGATTGTTTTTGTATTTTATTTTTT